AAGGAAGAAAGAAAGAAAGAAAGAAAGAAAGAAAGAAAGAAAGAAAGAAAGAAAGAAAGAAAGAAAGAAAGAAAGAGGGAACACAGCTGTTACCTTGCGTTGTCACTATTTCATCTGAAGTGAATTGAAACACTCTCTCCTGGAGAGAGGGTGGAAGTTCACAGTTCTTAGGAAGTGAAGTTCAGGTGACTCAGAAAGCTCCTAAAGTTATGAATTTCACAGAGGCCCCGCGGTGACAAAGGCACTGAATAGTTGTTGGGTGACCGAAATCTCTGAGGAGGTTGCTGGCAAGCTGGGCAGAGGGTACCAGGGTTTTGTTACCCATGCTAGGCTGGGCTTCTCAGTGATGTGGCTGCCTTCAAGTCAGTCGTGCTTCTATAAGTAGCCCCACAAATCCACTGACTCAACACATGTGGCTTTGATGGAATCTTTTCTTTGGCCATTAGTGCCCTTTCTGTGGTGAATAGATATTTGTTTGCATTTTCTTCAGGAAAAATCATAAAACCTATGGGTGAACCTAGAGAATGAAAACCACGCCCCTCACCTTTTGTGTCTTTGACACAAAAAAAGATAAAATACTACATGATGTCACTTAGATGTGGACTCAAGATATGGAGAGTAGAACAGAGAGAGTGAATGGGTTGGAGAGTGATAGGGAGATTGTAATCAAATATGTTGTGGCTGAATCTTGAGCCCCACTTGTATGATATATGATAGCAACTTCCCAGGAGGCAAGTGCTCAGCTCCTATTAGACCCTGGAAATGTCTTCCTCTAAGTTCAATGTGTTTTGTCCCATGTGTTCAGTCTCCTAATAATTATAGGAAGGCACTGATTTACATTTTGCCCAGTTTCTTTCTGCTTATTAGTATGTGATTTCTATACCTTGGATCACAGTCCCAGTGAACATCTGTGTAATAAAGGCCTGGGCTTCACCATGGCAATATTGTGAGATTATGAAAGCCTTAGTTTGAGTTTATAGTTTGAGGAGTTTGAGGAGGTAGTGGGTGGAGCATTGACACAGAGGGAGCTCTAGGTTTGGGAGACTATATCCTTAAAGCATATAGGTAAACTGAACCATCTCTCCTCCATGGCCATGTGGTAAGTAGTTTCAATGATATCCATTCCCACCATAGTAGGGTACCTCCCCAAAGGTACAAAGCAATGGGACCAGCTGAACATAAACTGGAAATTCTGAAATTGCCAGCTATCTACCCACTTTTTTTCTAATTGATTGTCTCAGGAACTTCTTATAGTAACATTAATTTTCTTGGAACTTCTTACAGTAACATTAATTGCCTTTCACCTGCTTAAGTTGAAAACTGAAGTCTACAGTGAAAATTTAAATTATTAGGGTTGTTATTATAAACATATATCACTGTAAACAAAATGACCCAATAAACCACAAGAGCCAGGAAGTCTATAAAGTGTGATCTCCTTTTCTGAGTACCTTGTAAAATAAGTGTCATGATGCATGGCTTATTCACATTTGATGACAGTAATACCAAACAATATAATGAATGGTACATGCAGAGATGTGTCATGAGCTCTTGCCAGGGGCTTCCTTACCTAAAATTGTTTGCTTGGGCAGCACAGATTTCCTTCTTAAGGACACATCCTACAAATAGGCTGTCTTCTGGGTAAAGCTTTTACTAATCTCCCCCAAAGGGAGCGGACCATAAAAATTCACTAATAGACATCATGGAGGGAAATGACAAATAAAACAGTTTGAATAAGACCATATAGATGAAAATATTTATTTAATCAAAGTGCTGGCACTCAGCTCACATTTTTTTTTCTTTTTTGAAGTGTCTGTGGTGCATGTGTGTGTGTGTGTGTGTGTGTGTGTGTGTGTGTGTGTGTGTGTGCGCGCATTAGTGTATGTCAGTGCAGTTATGCTCTCTGGTGCACATGTGGAGGTCATGTGGGACAATGGCAGGTCAAGGAAGGAAGATAATGACTAGAGGACAAAAAGCTATTCCACTTTACTGGTCAACTAGGTATAAGTGCTTGACAGTCAATACAACCCATTTGCTGCTATCTTGTTTGGATTAACAATAGTTTTGGTACATAAATGCAAATACGTGGTGTTGGGGAGAGATTGCTTTGGGAAAAGGGGTGGTCTTCTGTTTGGTTACAAACTCCAGTCCAAAGCAACATGAACCACAGAAAGGTGCTTTGTGACAAGAGTGGTTACTAAAATGAAGTTCTATTTTACTTACTTTGATATGATATTATGTATCTTGGGTATAGCAGAATAAAGCTCTTCAATTATATCATTCCACAGTGTGGCTAATAATACCCTACAGTGAAAGGCAGTTTAAGATGTAATTTCCTTGAATTGCAGGCAGACTGTACTTAATAAAGTAAAAAAGTGTCATAGTTATAATGCCCCTAGATGATATTTCTGTAATTGCAATGTAAATATTCAATAAATATTTAACATAAAATTTTACTGTACTTGTGAACTTGGGCTTCCCTTAATATTTAATTTTTTTATACTGGGTACTAATAATTAGGCATTGTTGTGTTAATTAGCAATGACACAATACAGATTGCTGATTTACAACATGAGAATTTAAACAAGACCACGAGTGTGTGTGTGTGTGTGTGTGTGTGTGTGTGTGTGTGTGTGTGTGTGTAGGTGGGGGTGGTAGTGGTGATGGTGGTGAGGGAGGGAAGAAAGGTATCGGGGATTGAGGAGGTCATGGGTGGAGCATTGTTCCTGCTTAAGTAGAATGGCTTTCTAGAAGTTCAGCAGGTACCTGTCTTCCAGTGGCAGCAAAGCCTTGGCTCTTAGATGTTCTTAGCATATTCCCTTTCTTGTGTCTTCACTCTTCTCTTTGGAACTCCATGCCCCTGTAATTAAAAACAACCCAATACAAGTTCTTAGATGCTGGAGAGGTACACAGTCATCTGGGTGAGAAAAGTCCCGGGGAACATAGTCCAGGTGGTTTTATAGTGACTCAATTAGATCCTCTCTTTAGGATATGACTCCATTGTTGTCTTCTTGGTTTTTAAAACCAATTTGGTTAAGTTGAAACATGTCAACCAAAGTTGAATATATTGACAAAAATATACCTGAAGGAGAGTTAGCAGAGTGTAGGTAGTAAAAGAAAATGAAAGCCAGCTCCCTGAGATGATAGCTTCTTGTTCGCAGAAGACATTCTGAGGAAAAATGGTAGGAACACAGGAGAGTAGGCATTAAACAGGACCTACAGGAGAGAGGGAAGGACCCAAGGTCCCCACAAAATACCCAAGCCAGAGTCTGTTTATTGGGATCCTCCCCTGCCCCACAACAGCACTGTTACTGTTGCTGTGTCCACAGCAGGATCTCCTTTCTTTACCAGATGTTCAGTTCTTTGCCCATTCCAAGCAGTGAACTTGGCAATACCCTAGATAACTACCCGCATCCTCATTATGTTTGATTTATTTAATAGACCTCAAACTGTATTTAGCCATTTCTTTTTTAAATGAATGAAAATGATTGGCCCAACTTTAAACAGTTACCCCCTCATGAACACAGGCACAAGCATCTTTAAGAAAACACTACACTAGTAGACCAAACTCAAGAATCTTTCAAACATATCACACAACAGGATGGGGGTTCTCTACCATGAAGGGTTAATTTAACTCATGGAACTAATAGAATTAAGGTGAAAATCAAATGACTGTGCAAATAAGTGAAAAAAGGCACTGACGTTTAGCACACTTTCTTGACCAATGCTATCAGAAAATATAGAGAAGAAAATTTTCCAATGTTTTAAGATCACTTACATATTTAAAAAACTGCAACTAATATCACCATCAACAGTAAAGAGACATCACCTCTTCCTCAAGGACCTCATATGAGAATGGCCACTCTCCTTTTATTGTATAAAGTGCTGAGGTACTGTACTATCTAGTTTCCAAACAAGGAATTAACTTTTATTTCAATAACTCCCCTTTCTTCTTACAGCCTGTGTCTCAACTACCCAGGTTCTGTCAACCATCAATGATAAGCCAAATAAGTAGGAAAAAAAAGAAACCCACAAAGATTTATTCCATGTAGCCACATTACAAAAGGGAAAAAGAGATCCATTAACTTGCTAGTCCATCTTCAGAATCCTAACGCAATGGCTGGGCTGAACCAGAAGACAAAAGGGACACATAACGAAGCAGTCCAGCCAAGAAGTGGTCCCCTGCCCAGCACAGTCACTGCCCATCTCTCCTGCAAGGTTGGTCTTTCCAGCAAAGTTATCCGACAAACTAAGTCTCAAGAAGGTAAGTGCCTCCTGTGGGTGCCCCAGGGCTTTTCTCCTCCCAGCAGGACCTTAGAGAAATTCTAACTTCTTGAGGACCACTGTTGCAATACCTTGAAAGACAAAGACAGGAGAACAAGTGTTTCTTTCAGACTATATCTATTCCTACCAGCCAGGCCAGTGACAGGTATGTAAAAGCATGGACATACACATGGTGCTTCCATTCTCCTAATTTCTAGAGTTTATTTGGTTTTAAGAGTAGGATATTTCAGTGCAATAAACAACAAAACTTTAAGGGGGGTTGTAGGTCAAAGGGTGGCACTTATATATAGTAAAATTTGATAAATAGTAATATAAATCAAGATTCAGAAAACTAGAACAAAATTATCCTCTAAAAACTCCTTCTTTCCTAATTACCACAAGAAGGGGATGAACCAATATGTAACATATGGTCTAGTATCCTCTAAATCATTAGAAAGACATTGGCATCTGGATACAGTGACCAGTTATTTAAATTATTCTCAGCAATATAGAACTGAATCCTGTCACCCACCTCCCTTAGTAAAGTGGAGTATTTTATTGGCAATGATAGAATATATTATACAATAAAAACAGAGACACTGCATTACAAACCATTCAAATTTGTTTATTTAAAGAAGTAAGCTTCACAGACAACCTCTATTTTATACCTACTCTATGTTTTCTGTGGGAAGAACTAGACTGAAATCAATCAGGAACTAGTCTTGTTCTTTTAACACAGTCTGAGAGTTGTGCTAACTTCTGTTTTCAAACATGAGGCTACATAGTAAATATGGTTTCATTAGCAAATTCATATCCTTACTGAGCTGTGTGCATGATTCTGACACCTGTGATAATTTATTTCTATCACATCAAATAATGTCCCATAATTTATAAGCAGTATTCACTTTATTTTTACATTATTCTATATATTCATAGGATTTACCATGTACAGTAATTCTCATATCCAGTAAGATCTGAGGTATGAGCTTCACTACACTCTTTATGCTTACCTCATTTGTTCTGGCATAACTATTTTGCTCACACATATTGGACAGAGGTCATTCCAAAGTCAGTAAGTGCTAAGATTTCCATGAAGCATGAATTCAGTGATGAGGAGTGAACGTTCATTAAAATCCCTGATATATTTTTAGGGCTCCCCAGTACAAATCCTCTGCTATCAAGATAAGAAGAAGCGCTAACAGACTTGCAACACTATTTAAACTTGTAGGGTTTCTTTCATGCGTGAATTTTTACACTTGTATATGTATAAAACACTTATTTGTCACCTTTTTTTCCATTTTACTTACTACTGTGAGTTTGGGGGGCTAAGAGTTGAACTATTATTAAAGGCCTTGCCACATTCCTTGAACTTCTAGGGTTTCAATTCCAGTATGAATTCGTTGATGTCGAATAAGGCTTGAGCTATTATTAAAGGCTTTATTACATTCTTTACATGTGTAGGGCTTCTCTCCAGTATGAATTCTTTGATGCTTTATAAGAGCTGAATGATTATTAAATGCTTTGTCACATTCCTTGCATTTGTAAGGTTTTTCTCCAGTATGAATTCTCTGGTGTTGAATGAAGGTTGAGTAAATACTAAAAGCTTTGCCACATTCTTCACATGTATAAGGTTTCTCACCAGTATGGATTCGCTGATGCTTCCTCAGGTATGAAGAACAGATAAAGGCCTGGCCACACTCCGCACATTTGTAGGGTTTTTCCCCGGTATGAATTCTTTGGTGTAGAATAAGACATGAAGATTTAGCAAAGGCTTTGCCACATTCTTTGCATGTATAGGGTTTCTCTCCAGTATGAAGTCTCTGGTGATACTTAAAATAAGAAGAACACCTAAAAGCCTTGCCACATTCTTTGCACTTGTATGGTTTCTCTCCAGTATGAATTCTTTGGTGTACAAGAAGGCTTGAAGAATTAACAAAGGCTTTGCCACAGTCTTTGCATGTGTAGGGTTTCTCTCCAGTGTGAAATCTCTGATGATTCCTAAGGTATGAAGAGGACCTAAAGGTTTTGTCACATTCTTTGCATGTATAAGATTTCCCCCCAGTATGAAATCTCTGGTGATATTTAAGGTATGAAGAACAGCTAAAGGTTTTACCACATTCTTTGCATTCATAGAGTTTCTCAATAGTATGAATCTTCTGATGCTTATGTAGGTATGATGAACAGATAAACGTCTGGCCACACTCTTCACATTTATAAGGTTTCTCTCCACTGTGAATTCTTCCATGTTGGTTAAGGTGTGAAGAACAGTTAAAGGCTTTCCCACATTCTTTGCATTTGTAGGGTTTCTCTCCAGTGTGAATTCTCTGGTGCTGAGAAAGTGATGAACGAAAAATAAAAGCTTTGCCACAATCTGCACATTTGAAGGGTTTTTCTCCAGTGTGAATCTTGTGGTGTCGAGAGAGGGCCGAGCAATTATAAAAGGCTTTGCCACATTCTTCACACTTGAAGGGTTTCTCTCCACTATGGATTCTTTGGTGTTGAGTAAGAGCTGAACAATTATTAAAGGCTTTGCCGCATTCCTCACATATGTAGCGTTTCTCACCAGTGTGAATTCTACGGTGTTGGTTAAGACTTGAAGAACAGTTAAAAGCTTTGTCACATTCTTTACATTTGTAGGGTTTCTTTCCAGTATGAATAATTCGGTGTTGTTTAAGATGTGAAGAACAGTTAAAGGCTTTGCCACATTCTTCACATTTGTAGGGTTTCTCTCCAGTATGAATTCTCTGATGTTGAGAAAGTGATGTGGGAAAATTGAAGGTCTTGCCACAAGCTGCACATCTGTAGGGTCTCTCTCCAGTATGAATTCTTTGGTGTCGCGTTCGGGCTGAGCAATTATTAAAGGCTTTGCCACATTCTTCACACTTGTATGGTCTTTCTCCAGTATGAATTCTTTGGTGCTGAGTGAGAGCTGAAGAATTATTAAAGGCTTTGCCACATTGACATTTGTAGGGTTTCTCTCCAGTATGAATTCTGTGGTGTTGGTTAAGGCTTGAAGAACATGTAAAACCTTTGCCACATTCTTTGCATTTGTAGGGTTTCTCTCCAGTATGAATTCTCTGGTGTTTATAAAGTGTTGAGCGAACATTAAAGGCCTTGCCACATTCACCACATTTGTAAAGCTTTTCTCCAGGGTGAGTTTTATGGTGTTGGATAAGAAGTGAATTCCAAGGAAAGGTCTTGCCACATTCTTTAAATTTATAAGGTTTTATTTCTGTTGAGTAAAGGTGGAAGTATTAGTAAAAGATTAATGACATAGTTATAATTATGAAGCTTATCTTTTATATGGATCCTTATATCCATAGATATAGTTCTAAATGCAATTTATTCTCATATTAATGGGAAAATAGACATGACTCCATAACTGTATTCACTATAGCATTACTCAAAAAAATATAGTCAGTGAAACAATACAAACTTCCACTGAACAACAATAGAACATATTCAAAATTTTATATGTACTCAATGAAATGGCTCTGTGGATAGGTTCCTGATTCCCAGGGACCTACGTAGTGGAAGAGATGAACTGAATCCTGCAAGTTGTCTTCTGTCCTTCATATGAATCAGAAGTCCTTAGCAGACACATACACACACACACACACACACACACACACACACACACACACATACACACACACACACACTTAAGGTAAGCAATAATGAAATATTTATGATAAGGAAAACTCTTAAGGGCAGTATACAAAATGAAATATGCCCATTACATAAGATAGATATCTGATTAGAAATACATGAAAATTCTAAAATAGAAAACATCATAGAATACCTATTTAAATGGTGAATAGACGGAATGGACAAAAAAAAATACACAATTATTTTCCTATGCTTTTTGTTCTGAAAGCTTTACTATTTCTGAAAGATTTGTGACATAATGATTTGAATGTATTGAACAATGCCCCAAATATTTAAGATAGTAAATTTCATGTTATATATTTTTTTTAATCTCAGTTAAAATAAAAGCTATTACATGATTTTTAAGATGTTCAAGTTTACCTTTAAATACAGAGTTTCAGGAGAGTCAACATATTTATCAATTGTTTATGAAATTTTAATAACTTCTAGAAATATTCATTTAGCAAGATAAAACAACTATTAAGTAACCAATGACGAAATAAATACACATAGCATGAAAATATAGAACTAGTATTTAATACATGAAAAAAAAGAACATCAATTTTATTTGGAACTAGGCACATGACTTGTAGACATTTTAATATCTTACATTACCCTAAAGAGCCACTACTAAAAACTGTCATTCAATCATAATGTAAGCTATACCTAAGAAGATTAGCAACAGATATGAGGGAGCCTATACAAAAATAAAACACAGAAAATACAATTGCAAGTTCAGAAAAATTCTGAAAGAATATTGGTAGGCTACTAAAAATACTTGTCTACCTGAAAGTGCTTATCTAACTATTCTTTATCAATAAAAACTCAGGAGTCAGATATCAGGGTAAGAACCTGAATGATCAGAGAGGCAGCAGAGAAGCGACCAGTGATGACCTACCTACCTACCCACCTACCCCCTCTCTCTCTCTCTCTGTCTCTCTCTCTCTGTCTCTGTCTGTCTGTCTGTCTGTCTCTCCTCCCTTGACCCAAAAAGGGCAGAGATGCTCCCTCAGCCCTGCCCTACTACTTCCTGTGTCTATCTATCTATTTTTCCTCGGTCCTCTAAAACTTCTATGGCTAACTTTGGTCTGCTAACAGCTATTTCTGCCCTCTTTTTTTTTTTTAAACATGTGTTTTTCTTTTTTTTTTTTTTCTTTTTTTTTAAAGATTTATTTATTTATTTTATTTATTTATTTATTTTAAAGATTTATGTATACAGCATGTATGTCTGCAGGCCAGAAGAGGGCACCAGATCTCATTACAGATGGTTGTTAGCCACCATGTGGTTGCTGAGAATTGAACTCAGGACCTCTGGAAGAGCAGTCAGTGCTCTTAACCTCTGAGCCATCTCTCCAGCCCCCTATTTCTGTCCTCTTATTCAAAGCAAACTTTATTGGCAGTCTTGGGAGCGTCAGAATATGATCAAAATATCCCACAACATTTCCTCCTTTTATGTAATGAGTCTTTCTCTGTCCTGCCAACTTCCAAATAATGTCACAGAGAATTCTTATTCATTATGAAAGCTTGGTCTATAGATTTGGCTTGTTTCTAACTAGTTCTTATAACTTAAATTAACCCATTTATAGTAATCTACATTCTACTATGTGGCTCATAAGTGTTACCTCCTCCTGCACATCTTTCTTGCTCTGTGTCTCCTGGCATCTCTGCCTTTCTTGTTCCCAGAGTCTTCTCTGTCCATGGAAGTCTATACCTGTCTATACCTCCTGCCTAGCTATTGGCCATTCAGCTCTTTATTACACCAATCACAGCAATATATCTTCACACGGTGTATAAATATTCTGCAAGATTTATCTGTGTATAACTTTTTTGCTATCATATACCACAAAAACAATGCATCATAAATTATAAATCATTGACAATCAGTGTATGGCTGAGAAATTCACAGAAATACACTATAATAATTTATAAAGAAGTCTGATGGAACAACTTTAAATACTGAGCATGCAGATGCAATTAGAGAAATTATTTGTGGTGACACTGTGCTATAAAGGCTTGACATATAAATCTTAGAACTGTGTACAAGTTTCTGAGGCATGGGAAACAATGGCAAGTGATCTATAGTGATCTAGACCCTCACCTGCAGAAGGCCAGACTAAAGTCACTGTAAATGCATGCAGACATCACTAGAGAGGAAGGACAGATTTGAGGAAATAAAAGCATGATAAACATCTGTCAGAAAATATCCTACTTCAAGGGATAACAAGTGGAACATTCTGAATCACCGTTTTTCCCTGAAACAGATCCTCTAGTCCATCCAGCTTTTGATACCTGCCTTTCTGTGGCATCTCTGGACCTTCCACTTGTGTGTTCTGATCTATGCAATCCCACATACCTGGGTGTACAGCAACTGGGGCTGGTCCCTTCACATTCCATGGCTCTTTTCTTTGCTCGAGAAATGTCACCAAATATGGCTTAGAAAAAGCTAGACCTGTTAGGAGGAAAGGTAAATGTGATGACTGTATGTTGTTCTCTAGGACTGACATTTATATATCACTATTATATTTATAAGAAAAGAGGAAACAGAATAACAGATGGCAGAAAATAATTTCTTTAAATGTTTCCTGATAGATATATTCAATACTTCGAGCTTTACCTCAAGAAAAAAAATTAAGCTGCTGGGTAAAATATTTTACTTTAAGATATATGTGTCATATTTCATGTCTCTCAATTTCTAAAATTCCAAATAAAAAGGAATCACACTACCAAAACAACAAGGTTGAAAACACAAGAACTGTAATTAACTTTATCAGCTACACCTACAACTCCCTTAAGTTTTCCTTAAGAGCAGGAATCTGACTTTGTGAACGGAGTTTGAATGCTTCCTACTCTAGTTTTATGGAATAATGAGAAATATTACTCTTAGTTCTCAGCAGAGCTGAAAAACACTTTCAGCAAAATGGCAGGATACAAATATCAACCAAAATCAAACATACTGAGGAAGAAATTACTCACCAAACCTATCCCTGACCCCCCCCTCCCCAAAAAAGAGGATACATTGGAATAAACCTAATCCAGGGAATAAAAGACTTCTATAATGAAAAGTTTAAATCACTAAAGAATAGAAACCAAAGGGGGGGGAAAGAAATTGAATACTGGAAGATGGAAAAAAAACTCCTATGCTTATGGATTGGTAGACTTAATATTGTGAAAATGACATTTTACAATGTGCACAATGATGTCAAACTGACTTCTAAATAGTTTTATTTATACATAGATTTGTGCTGTTCTCAATGTTAATCACAGCAGCTGTGGCTTGCAGCTGGTAGCAGCTGACGTAGAGACTCATAACTGGCCAAAGTATCCAGAAGCTATACATGTGGTGGGAAATATTATGAATAACAAACCTCAATGAAGCAAACATCAGGAAAACAAACAATCCAATCAAACAATGGGCTCTGAAGCTGAACAGTGATCTCAAAAAACGACAAACCCACAGCTGGTATTTTTACAAGTCATTGTCATCTTTAGCCATCAGTGACATGAAGATTAAAACTACTTTGAGATTCTATCTCACCTGAATTGAGGTTATCATTAAGAAAACAAATGATGAGAAATTTTGGCAAGTATGTATAAAAAGAACACACTTTAAATTATCATGGGAGTGTAAACTGGTACAGCCATTATGGAAATCAAGGCAGAGGATTCTCAAAACGCTGAAAGTAAAACTTGCTAACTACCACATGACCCAGCTACATCACTCTTGGACATATACTCAAAAGATTCCATCTCTTACCACAGAGATACTTGCATCTCCATGGTCATTGCTGCTCCGTTCACAACAGCTAGGAAACTGAATCCACTTACATATCCAAAGAATGACGAGTGAAGAGTGAAATGTGTTCTATACACACACCACAGAATTGTATTCAGATATAAAGAAACATGAAACTGTGCATTTTGCAGGTAAATGGAGGAGGGAGGTAAATGAGAGTCAGAAAGACAAATGTCAAACATTCCTTCTCATGTGTGGATCTTAGCTTTGAATTTCAGGTTTCTGTGTTTCCTTTGGAGTACCTGTAGCAGACTGGAAGGTAGAGAAGGGCCACTGAAGAGGAGGGACTGTCTGAACAGAAGGTAGTGGGACAGCATAAATGGTATGAAAGTAGAGTTAGGCATTACTGGGGGTGGAGAGATTTAAGTTCAGATGGATGTGCATGGTGGGGATGTCCAGTATCTGGGGGAGAGGATTAGCTAAAAGTAAGGATTAAAAAAGCCACACAGAATCCTATTACTCTGTAAATTAATTTAAATTATAATTTAAAGGTTTAAAGGAATGTACCCTGCATGGGTGGATAAATACTATTGTTCAAAAGACATAGGTTGTTTTGTTTTGTTTTTCTTTAAGTGCCAACCATCACAGAGGTAGAATACCTCCCTGTGAATTTTAGCTCAGGGTATGCCAGAGACCACCAAAGCAATGCAAACTTGTTCCATTCCTCTTGGTTGCCTGACAGACTAGACCATAAGACCCAATCACTGAAGACATCACATACTCTAGCAGCAGGAAATAGATACATCGAGTTTTAACAGAGCTGGAGGCTTTCTTCAGGCCAGCCATATTTCACATAGTGGGAGGTGATGTGAAGGCTTCTTGGATAAAAACGGCAGCATCTGTGAACCCTGAAAACTATAATACTGTTGTGGAATATTCCTTTATTCGGTGTGAAGACGTGTCACTCTGATTGGTTTAATAAAGAGCTGAATGGCCATTAGATATGCAGGAAGAGGTTAGGCAGGATTTCTGGGACAGAGAGATCTCTGGAAAGAAGAAAGGGAGAGATGCCAGAAGATGCAGAGCAAGGAGGACGGGTAATATGGAGACAAGGCAATAAAACCATGAGGCCGAAAGTAAGTTACTAGAAATGGGTTAATTTAAGTTATAGGAGCTAGTTAGAAAAAAGCCTAAGCTATCTGCTGAGTTTTCATAAATAATAATAAGTCTCCATGTCATTATTGGGGAGCAGATGGTCCCAACAAAAAAAAAAAAATCCATCCACAAAATATCAACCTACTGGAAAAGATGTGTCCACTGGCATAGATGTGGCATGACTATTACATGTAATCACTCTGCCTGGTACTACAGAACTATCTAAAAGCTAGCCATGCTTAAGTAAATAACCCCTTACTCATGCTCATGTTGCCGACTTTAACCAATGCAGTGGGCCAGAGGAAAAAATACATGGAAGTAGGACAGAGACTGCATGGGTTGAAAACAGGGGTCTGCGGAAAGGGTCAGAGGATAAAGGTGGGCATAGTCAATATACATGTGTAAACACACATGTACATTCACGTGTCCATTACAGTATACATTACACATGTACATGCACGTGTAAAATTGTGGAATAATTGTTATAATGCAAAAATTTGAAGCTCATTGTTGTAAAGCATAAGTTCCCATGAGATATTCTACCAATAGAGGAAGTTACACGTTTAAAGAGAATTAAAAATTCACTATGGAAGTGATTCTCACCCAGGAATACAAGGTTGCTGTAATTCTCCAGCATCACATCCCTGTACAGATTCCACTGAGCAAGGTCCAGGCATTCACACTCCTCTGCAGAGAAATCAATGGCCACATCCCTGAAGGAGAGCAGTGCCTAAAATAAAAAAAAAATGAACAGTATATGTTAATTTAGTTAAGTAGTATAATCGAGAGCTCAATATCAATATATAAATAATATGTGGTTAGAAACAGAATTTTTTTTTTTTTTTTTTTTTTTTGGTTTTTCGAGACAGGGTTTCTCTGTGTAGCTTTGCGCCTTTCCTGGAACTCACTTGGTAGTCCAGGCTGGCCTCGAACTCACAGAGATCCGCCTGGCTCTGCCTCCTGAGTGCTGGGATTAAAGGCGTGCGCCACCACCGCCCGGCCAGAATTTTTAATTTTAAGAAAGATGAAAGAGTAGTAGGATACGGAATGAGATATTTTTATATAATATCTTATACATTACCCATATTTAAGGGAAGACAATGGCATATGCCCTAACAAACCCATCTGGATATTATACTTTATGATATACAAAACAGAACATGAATACAGTATGAATTTCATGTACGGTGCTGATGTGGTACACATTTTTCACAGGAGAGGGTCACACTGAGTTAGAGTGACACTTCTCAACTGTTACACATGAAATGAGATGAAAATGCAGATTCTAAGGCAGCAGCTCCTGGGGAAGGAAGGGCTGAGTCTCTGAACACGCACCCACTTCAGTGCTAAGGCAAAGGACAGCTCACCAAAGACACTTGTCTGAGTATGCAAGGGGGCACAATAAGGGAAGAATTCATAGATAAAAAGGAACTGGAGATTTTTAATGAATTTATATTTGAAAAATAAAAGTGCAATGCTTTCTAAATATTAAAATACATTAGATGGCATTTTAAAGTTTTCTTTTACTTCATTTTTCTTCTCTCCTTTCTCACCCTGCCTGGTTTAGATAAATATTCATGTATTTGTTGGAGAGATGTGGAAAGGCTCAGAGGGCTCTGTACAGAAGTCTCTGTTTCCTTCACAGCTAGCAAGTCACCTATCTCCCACTCAGAAGAGAACCTAAGGCTAAACTGAAGTATAGTTAGACCCAGATACATAGAATCTGGAGCTGATTGTGGGAAGAACCTGATCCATGGGTTGTTCTGAATCAACAACAAGATCTCATCATCTCAGAGTATCCACTGTGTCATCCACAACTCCCAGTACCCCAGTTATAAAAATAGAATGTATAACTGAGAGACTATAAGGTACAGTGTTTACCTTTATGGAATCCACCTCAATCATGCTTTTTGGAAATATTTCTGTTTCATGTTGTGCTGATGAAGACACTGTTCTGTTTACGTACATAGGGCTAGAAATTACTGAACAGATGTGTTCAGCATGGCAAACTGTGGAGGTTTGAATGAAAATGGTCCCTGAAGGTTCTAACGTCTGAATACCTGGCCCCCAGTTGGTGGAACTGTTTGGGAAGGATTGGGAGGTGTGGCCTTGTTAAAAGAGGTGTGTAACTAAGGGTGGGCTTTGAGGTTTGAAAAGACTCATGCCATTTCCCCCCCCACACACATACACACATTTTCTCTGCCTCTTGATTGTGTCTCAAGATGTTGCTCTCAGCTACTGTTCCAGCACCACATCTGCCTGTCTGTTCCATGCTCACTGCCATGAGGATCATGGACCTTCTGAAAATGTAAGCTTCAAATAAACTCTTCTATAAGTTGCCATGGTCATGGTGTCTTATCACAGCAATAAAAAATAACTAAGACAAACTCATGGATAGCTGTGTTACGAAGACAGAACAAACGTGATCTGAGTCAGGCCAGGTGTCCTAGCTCTAGCCCACATTCTCATCTCCGTTGCTCAAAACAGACTGTACGCCCACCTCCCTAACATACAGTACCACTTCTGCCCATGTTTCCTTCCGTGTTTTGTTGCTTGGGCTTGAATTGTTTTTTTTTTTTTTTTCTTTTTCATTTTTAGAGTACCATACAAAAATAATAGGTTTTATCATGGCATCCTCCTATACAAGGCTATATTCTTTCTTTGAATTCATATTCCTCCTCAACAGTCTTCTTTAGTAATATATATATATATACATATATATATACATATATATATATATATATAGAGAGAGAGAGAGAGAGAGAGAGAGAGAGAGAGAGTGTTTCTTCAGGTACCTAACAAAGTTAAGCAGAAAGTACACAAACTCCTATACACGCATCCATAGCTTATGTCACTCACTAGTCTCCATCAGAGTGGTAGAGGGATGCATTTGCTACAATGGCAAACCTACATATTGACATGCGCAGAAGCCCCCGAATAACCCCTCTTCCTTTACAGCTAGTCCCCCTTCTTTCCCCAGGTAGTCCCCACTTCTCCTTTCACATTACATCTATTCCATCCGTTGTGCATATTAACCACATTTCCTTTGTCCAGGTGTCTGTTCATGGACCTCCATGCTGGCTTCACACAGCAGTCAATGATAATGGTGCAGCTACAAACATGGGGGAGGGGAGAGTGGCAAGTATTGCTCCAGGATGCTGTCTTGAAGTCCTCAGGTGCACAGGAGAGTGGCATAACTAAGTTATTTGATTCTCCCACTTTCAGTATTTTGACAAACTTCCGTACTGAGTTCCGTTGTTGCTACCCGTGTTTACATAGCAACCAGCAGTAAATAAGATTTCCTCTTTCCCACACATCTTTGTGAATACATGTTGCCATTCATTTACTCAATCATGCTGACTGGGGTGAGAGGGAATCTTAAAGTAGTTTTAATCTGCATTTCACTAATGGTTAAAAATGCTGAACTTTTTTTTTTAAGTTATTTCTTGGCCATTTGCATTTCTGTTGTATATTTTGTTTGTGTTCTGACAAATAAAGCTTGCCTGGAGATCAGAGGGTAGAGCTAGTCACTAGTTAACCATACAGGCCAGGCAGTGGTGGCTCATACCTTTAAACCCAGCAATAGGGAGGTGGATGCAGGAATATGAGGCTGGTGGAGACAGGATCTCAGCCCCCATTTGGTCTGAGGATTCATAGAGGTAAGAAGTCTCTAGTGGCTGCTGCTCTGTTCTCTGGTCTTTCAGCTTCCACCTTCGATATCTGACTCTGGGTTTTTATTGTTAAGACTAATTAGGATAGTGAATCATCTGCTGCCGAACTGCTAAGACAAAAGTTCTAGAAATATTTACTGCTGAAGAGAGCAAAACAGGTGACTGATAATATGCAAACCTTAGAAGAACTTACTAAAACAGATAATAGAGATACTCAGACACAGACTGGGGAATTTAAAGAAAAAACAATCTCACCATTACATTTTAAAATCAGAGAGGCGCAGCCCAAGGTTATCAAACAACCAACCTTAATTTATCCAGTCACCTTATAGGAACAACTGCCAAATGACAGGCGTCCCCAAGGCTAGGTAAGAGCTGACTGGACTCCTGTGCACACTTTAGATTTGAGGAGACATAGGGAAGTGATAGTCTCATTTGGCATGCATATTATCTTTTGTGAAGCAGATGTTAAATTCATGGTCAACTAGTAACATAATTGTCCCACACGACTGGAAAGGCTTGGTTACAGCAGTATTGGAGTCTGGTCCTAAGTACAGTGGAGGACCTGGTGGACAGGTGAGGCTAGGACCACTGAACAACAAAGTAGGGATGAGGTATTGAAATTTCCCAAGACCAACTTCTTGGAGAAGGCCATTATGCTGATGGCTGATGTACAAAGACAGTCTCTGTATGATGACCACACCCTGGCTCTATGCTGTGCAGCAACTTTGATTGCTTAGGACAGAACTAAAGAAATCAGAAAGAAGAGAGTCATTTATTAAAGTTATACAGGGCCCAAAAGAAATCTTCACTTAATTTTTTTTTTACAAAGATTAACTTCAACTGTAAATAGAATGATACCAAATTCAGAAGCTAGATAAATAATAATTGAATCTTTTTGGCATTTGAAAATGCTTATTCACAATGCAAAAGGGTAATTAGGACTTTAAAGACAAGATCAGCACCCATAGATGAACGGATTAGAAAACTAACTTATAAGACTCACAAATGCTTATCATTTTATCAGATATAATTTGCCAAAAGGGAAACTCCCCAAAGTTACCCTTGGGACAGGGTTATGTTGTTTTCTTTCCAGGAGAATGAAGGCATCCAGCTAAGGAATCTGAAGACCACTGGACAAATGAGACATCTGAAGAAAAAGGACAAATCATCCAGAGAAAATGTGCCAAGAAAAAGAATAAATTGGCCTATTGGTGTTGTAGACTATTATTTTAAGGTGTTTGTGCCACATTTGTTTAACTCTGTGAAGCTGTGTTACTGTTCCTGTCTAAAACACCTGATGGTCTAATAAAAAGCTGAACAGCCAATAACAAGGCAGGAGAAAGGATAGGCAGGGCTGGCAGGCAGAGAGAATATATAGAGGGAGAAATCTGGGAGGGGGCATCTAGGAGCCAGAGAAGGAAGAGGACATCAGAGGCCAGCCACCCAGCTACACAGCAAGCCACAGGGTAAGATTTACAGAAGTAATAGAACAGGAAAAGCCCAGAGGCAAAAGGTAGACTGGATAAGTTAAGCTAAGAAAACCTGGCTAGAAACTAAGCTGAACTAAAGCCAGGCATTAATAATTAAGAATAAGATTTCAAGTGATTTGCTTGGGAGCTGAGTGGTGGGCCCCCAAAAAAGAGCCAAAAAACAACCAACAACATATTGGTATATCACATTTCCAACAGGATTAAATTTCATAAATCTTCCCAAATGTTTGTTTCTGCTGTTCTCTACAGATACATAATGCAAATGTTCTTTTTGTAGTCCCAGTTCAATTAAAAATCGGTCTGGGAGGGGGGAATGGACCTGCCTGGACTGAGTCTACCAGGTCAACCCCGGTCCTCGGGGGAGACCTTGATCTGGAGGAGGTGGGAATGGGGGGGGGGGGGGGGGGGGGGGGGGGCGAGAGGGGGAGAACAGGGGATTCTGTGGCTATTATGTTGAACTGAATGGTGTTGTAAAATAATAATAATAATAA